TGTTTGTCCTGAGGTCCTCCCATGGGACACCTCTTGTTCTAGTGTTTCAACATCCTCTATGAGACAGAGGCCTTTTATAACTCCTTTTATAACTTTTAGTATGTTTAGATCCTTTAGTCTATAACTGAGGGATTATAGCTCTGAGAGCCAGAGTTGCTTTCTGTCCTTCCTCATTCATCTTTCCTGAGGGGTCTTGGGATTGTCTCTTATCTCCAGAGGAGATGTTGACCTCCTACCTCAGAGGCATGGCCCTTACCTCAGGCAGCAACAGGAGGGACATCATAGCACAGCAAGTCCAACAAGAGGGATGCCCAAGGACAATAGAAGAGGTTGTCAGGGGATGCAAGATGTGAAAATTAGGACAACACAGGAAGGAGTTTCTTAACAAGCTGTTTACTATTACAATAAACTAACAACAGTGTGAAGTCTGCTTGGAACCACTGTAAAATGAGACCAGTTCTCGTCCGTGTGGACTATACAAATGTGCTTGTCTGAAGGTAGGGGATGAGAGTGATCTTGTCAGTCTTCTGAGATGCCATAATTCCAAAGCCCCATGTTTATAGAGCACCTTTCAGAATGTCATTGTGGCCCAGTTTCAAACAAGCCATTTGATATTCTTATTTTATGGTCAAGAAATATAGGCCATGGCATGTTGGACCATTTGCCCAAAGTTAAACTGAAAGCTAGTCTTTGTCAGTGTTTTGCTACTCTCTGAGGAGATTCCAAAATTGGTGCTGTCCTGGATTCAGGTTTATAATTAGCCTCCAAAAAATGATGGCAGATCATCCTGCTACATTGAGGACAATCTTTCATTCCCAGGAAACTGACATAAGTCCCTGTTCTAGCAGTCCCCGACCCAGTTTATTTTTCCCACATTACTGGAGCTCTGGGGCTGTGAGAAGAGCCAAACATAGTTAGCAGATACCTGGAGCTCCTGCCTTTGCTCCTCTCTAAAGAATAGAGTCTCTGTGGGGAGTGATGAGGGGCCCCATTTGGCCAAAGCCCTCTGACTCCCCACACTGAACCTCAGCTTGTGTCCCTGAACTGTGATGAAGCTTGGAATTCACACTGTGGATAGTGACTGGCTGCAACTGACTTAGAGAACCTTGGATAGATGGGTCAATTTAGGAGCATCTGCTGATTTCTCCCTATGTCTTAGGTGCTGTCTCTCATTTCATAGAATTGAAAGCTATCTGATTGGCTCTGAATTTCTGGGGTCACCCTTAGCTTGCTCAGATCCTGAACTCTAGACCTTTTAAACTCTAATCTGTGACATAACTACCTTTGGTTTTCTTAAAGCTTTGGGTTTGATTTGGTCTAAAAAGAGAAACCAAAATCTAGATGCTTCAGGAGCATTGTACCAGGTGGGATAGGCTAGGTTTTGCTGTGACAACAGCTAGCCCCAACAAGTATTCATTTCTTGTTCTTACTACATGTCTGTTGCAAATTGACAGAGAGCTGTACTCTCTGAGATCACACAGGGACCCAGGCTGTCAGATCCACTTCTACTTTGCCTGTTGCCAGTTGCTAAAGAGGGAAAAAGAGATCTCTGAGGGTTCACGTTAGCAATTAAATGCTCACTTACAAGATATGTAATTTCTACTTACTGTTCAGTTGCTAGAACTGACCTCATGGCCCTACTCATCCAAACAAATTCAGACATACACTTCTATACTGTACCTAGACAAGGAAAAAATGTTTAGGGGAACAGTACTAATGTCTACTGAGGGCATTTGGTGACACAGTCAACCAAAAAAGAGACTATGAAGAAGCAGATAGCTGGAACTCATCCCCAAGGAAGAGCAGCAATGGAGAAAGCAAGCCTCCAGGAAATGCATGTGGAACCAATTCCCTGATTTGTGATGGGAAAATCTTTTTCCAAACAATAAGGCAAGAAAGGTCAACACCGAAAGACTCTCAGTGAAGAAAAGTCCAAAGTATTTACTTCAGGCAGAAGGAAAATGGTCTCAGATGGAAGGTCTGAACTACCAGAGATGTGGTGACTATAGGATGCATTGGTTCTCAGTTGCTACTGCAACAAAGTACTGTCTATGTAGTGGCTTAAAACATTACCTTGAGAATAAAGAATTTATTCTCTTATAGCTCTGGAGGACAGAAGTCCAGGATTAGTTTTATTGGGATAAAGTCAAGATATTGGCAGGGCTGGTTCCTCTGGAGGCTCTGAGGGAGGACCCATTTCCTTGTCTTTTTCAGAGTTCAGTGGCACCTGCATTCCTTGGCATGTGGCCCTTCCTCCATTCAAAGTGCATCTCTGCACTCTCTGGTGCCATCGCCAAGTTGCCTTCTCCTCTGATTCCCTCTTATCCTACCACTGGAACTATTCTGGCAGCACCCAGATAATCCAGAATAATCTCCCAGTTCAAAATCTTTAATTTCATCACATCCGCTAAGTTCCTTTTGCCATGTAAAATATCATATTCACAGATTTCAGGGATTAGAACACAGTAACTTTTGCATGCACTGGGGGTAGAGGGGCAGGTATCATTATTCTGCCTATCACACCAGGTAAATATTTACCAAAATAAGGCTGGTGTAGCTATATCAGACCAAATAAACATTAGGGCAAAATCATCCCTAGAGATAAAGAGGTGCACGGATCACTAGGAAGATATAGTAATTTGTAATATGTATACAGCTTGTCAACATCTTTCAGCCAAAGACCACTAGGAACACCTTATTCTTAAACATTGGGTGCAACCAGGCATTTGCATTTAAAAATCAAGAAAGTATAGCCTGAGAGTTAGGCCCTTGTGCGTGGGGGGTGCACCATCAGATCCAGCAGAACTGAAGATGCCGTCAGTCAACAGATTTCCCAGGCCATCGCTCTGTGGGGCAGGCCCTTCCCTGCTTTGTTTGAATGGCCAATGCCTCATGTAAGCTTTGGTCCCTCATTAGAGCTTCTGGGGACCTACATGTGAAGAGGGATGGCTGAATATCAAGGCCTTCCTCTTGTTCTTGGACTTTTACATGTGTTGTCACCCTTGGAGGGCCAGAGTTGAATTCATTGAGGGCACTGGCTATTTCCTTCTGGATCTATACTTTCCCCCTGATCTGGCCGGTCAGCCCTGTGCCACAGCCCATAGACCTGGATGTCAGTGAAGTCCCCTCTGGCCCATCCTCTAGTTCTGTCCCATTGAAGCCATCCTACCTCCAGGACTGAAGTCACATCTTCCAGGAGATGCCGCTCCTTGTCCCGCCATATTTGACTCAAAGTCCCTCTGAGTCGCCCACCCTTCTCTTTCTCTCAGCCTTCTTTCATCTCGTTCATTCTTCCTGAACAAGGGTCACAGAGTCTTGTCCCAGCACCTCTGACACTTCACCTATTCCTCGGTACGTTTATTTATCTCTTCATTAGCAAGTCATATAGGAAGTGAGAAATGCCAAGAAAACCAAACCAGGTGAGGGGACGGAGAGAGCGGCAGCCTTGGAGGAGTAGGGGCAGTCTGGAAAGGCCCTGTGAAGACTAGGAGGAGAGCATTTCTGCAGAGGGAACTGCAAATGCAAAGGCTCTGTGGACAACCCGCTTGGCAGGTTTGGGGAACAGTTAGGTCAGTGTGAGGAGAGCAGGGGGAGCCAGAGGGAGTGTGGGGGCTGAGCCCAGATCTGCAGCCTTCTGCTAGAGGAAAGGAGTTGGGATGTACTGGAGGGTTTCAGCAGGCAATTCATGAAAATTTGTCTCTGGCACTACATTTTGATAGAGCAGTGTAACTGGCATTGAAGAAGAACTGAAAGACGTAAGTTTGGAATTTGCAATGTGACTAGAAGAATGGAGCAATCACACACACATGGATGTGTGCACGTGATCATGCACACATACACGTGGCTCAACAATATTTACAAAACAATCCAGGTATAAGTTTATATTCCTGTATTGAAACTCAGTATGCAAGTATAATGTGTCATATATGTCAGTTTCAAAACTCAACACTTTCTTATCCATTATCAGAAATAACCATTTGCAGATAACAGTGAGGTGAGATGAGTTCCCAGAACAGAAAAAGGCTTTATCACTATGCTGACCCAAGTGGCCAGGGGCCACCAGGGAAGACGCCTCTCCTTGTTAAAGGTCAGCTTAGAGCAATCAACCATTCAAGGTTTGAATCCAGAGTGAGAGCCTCTGGGACATTTTGAGATGCTGCCACTCACTTTCTTACGGTGGCTTTGGCCTCCTGCCAGGTGGTCTCTGTCACATTTTCCCATTCCTAAGGAGGGCATGTTATCACAAAGACTCCCCACCTGCTCATTCTCCCTCTGCACCCCAGAAGGTGGCGGGTGCCAGCACTTAGCACTGGGGCCACCAAGAGGCCAGACAAGGGGCAAGCCAGCAGGGCAGGGCAGGCCAGCCAGAGACCCTCCCCCGGGAAGACTGCACTGTTTGTCAGCGCTCTCACCGCCAGGTCAGCCGGGACGCAGGTCTGACCGGCAGCCAGGACCGAGCGGAGGCCTCCGGAGGCCAGGGAGCAGCTCTCAGGGCCTGCTCTCTTCATGTCCTTTCATTCCCAGCCCAAATTAAAAGGACACACGGACAACAGCTCTGAAAGTACCCTCACCAGGTCTAATATTTTTTCCTTTCGGGAAATAAAGTAGATAATCAGTTGAAATGAAATTATAAAATGCTATCCCAGGGAACTCAGAGGGGCATGGAGAACAAACACTACAATTTTTAGGGGCTAACAGGCCTCCAGAGCTGTTGTTAGAATATCCTTGAACTCTTGTTTGAATGAGCTGTTGTCTAAATTGTTTTGGTCCATCAGAGTGTGAGATCCCCACGCCCCACCTGACATCATCAGAGGCCTAACCCTGATATGTGAGAGACTCTGTGGCATTTGATGTGGCCTCCTGGCCCAGCTGGGCATGCTTATCAGCCCCTGGTGTCCTGTGACACCAGCCGACTGAGGGATGGGTATACAGCCAATCATGTCTCCATGAGTGTTTTCTCAACCGGCAGATATTTTCAGGTAGGAGAAAATGTCCCCTCCATGGGCAGTCAAGTTCCTCTGGAAGCTCACCCATTCCCTGCAGGTACTTTGCTGATGGTCAGATCTCACCTTCCTGCTCCTTATGTTCGTTTCTCTTTCCCATTCCGGGAGCAGCAGCTGGTGGCTCTGGGACTTTACCTCCTACAGTCAGGCCCCGTGGGCTCAGTGCCTGGGATCTGGGAGTACCAGTTGCTCACCCTGGCCCTGGCAGGGCTGGTCGTGTGCCCTGCTGCTGATGATTCTGGTGGTTTCCCTGTCCCTGCTCGGTTTCTTAGCTCTTCCATAACCTGTATTGAATTCCTTCTCTAAGTCATAGGGTGAGGATTCTGTTTTCCTGATTGGACACTAAATTTTACCCCTAGAGGTTTCTACCCATTCGATTGTCCAGCGAAGACACAGATCAGGCCAAATAGTCTGACTAAAGAGAAAAAGGCAAATGGAAGAAAAAGGCTCAGAGACAAGTCAGGAACAGCTCCCAGGGGAGGTTGGATAGAGCCATGGGGACGCCAGAGCACAGAGAGGAGAGGGCCAAGCAAAGTTGTGACCTCAGGCGGAAGTCTTGCTGATATCCCACTGGTGCATGAGTGCACCACTGAGTCGTCTGGACAGAAGCCCGGGAGTGGGATGGTCACAGTGCTGGCCCAACAGTCACCAGTTCGCGAGCCTGGGCAGGGGGGCCAGGTAAGTTCCCAGGCATCCTGAGTGGCTCCGGTGGCCTGGGACCAGAAGAGCAGAGGGAGGGCCCCCAGCTGAAAGCACACCACAGGCGTGGGGCACACAGAGAAGGAGTGGAAAAGAGCCTGAGGGCTATGTCTGAAGGGAGAAGGTGGAGAAGGTGCGGGATCCTGTTGTACTCAGAGGAGAAATCTCTCTGAATTGGCAGAGAAATAATTCTATCTATCAGCAGGCTTTAAGGAGACCCCTTGAGAGCAGGGCCTTGTCCCCAGGATCCAGCCCAGGGTAGAACACAGAAGAGTGTTTGGAAAATCCTGGTTGCATCTTGGAGATTCTTTTTTCCTCTCATGGAACCCCTTTCCCTTGTATGGGACCTCCTTCCCTCCCTCCCACGTAACTCCCTTACCGCTCATGGGGCTTTGTCCCTCCCATGGTGTCCCCTTTCTTCCCGCAGTGCACCCTTTTCTCCCAGGGCACCTCCTTTCTCTCTCATGGGATCCCTTCAGTAGATCAGACACTGTCTAACCTCTCGGTTAAACCACAGCAGTTTCCTGTTAGGTTGTGTGACTACAGAATCTTAACATGTTGTGTGAACACACACAAAGGAACACATGTTGGGTGGGAGGGAGCTCAAAATGCTGCTCAAAAAACAATGGAGGTTCTGCAGATAAATAAAGGGTTTCTAGATCCAAGATCAATATAAAAGCAATTGCATTTTAATAGAACAGCAATAAAAAGAAGATGGTGGAGAAATATGAAAAACTTAGGGGAAAAAATGACCAAATATTTACAAGAGTCCCAGCTGGATTTGTTTTGTGGAACTCTGGAGTCTGGTCCCAGAACATATACAAAATGCACCTGGAGTCAGGACCGTGGTTCCCTCCAGGGGAGAGGGAGGGGGAGAGGGAGGAAGATGGCCGGGGGAGGGCTGCACTGGCCTTCTAAGGAAAGGGCAGTGGTCTCTCTCTTTATCCAGTGGCTGTAACTCTGCTGTTTATTTGCTAAACTATTGGCGATATATTTCACATTTAAAAAAAATGCAAAAACGGAAGCAGCAAGATAGAGGGTTTCCTGGACAGGAGCTGAAGTGAAGAGGGTGATGAGTAAAGAGGCTACTGTGTGATCCAGGCAAGAGGTAATGAGGGTCTGAACCTGGAACTGACCATGACAATGGACAGGAAAGGACAGCATCATAAAACCCCGGGTAGGAGACCCAAGGCTTTGGCAACTGATGGTTGCACTGAATGAGGACAAAAGCGTTTTCTAGAACATCTAGTGATTCCAGGTTTCTGGGGAGGAATCATAGTTCATGGTGGTTAGGGTGTCAGGGGAATGGATTAGAAGAGATGATACATTCTATTTAGGGTAACTTGAATTTGGGGTACCTGTGGGAACATCTGAGTGGGGTAGGAGTGGTCCATTAGCAACAAGAATGGTAGTTCAGTTGTCTTTAAAAACTGCTAAAGGCTGTTCCAAATGGTTACTTCCTCCTTCTGCTTGACAGGAACTTGAACTCCCTGACAAGCTGTCATTTTGCAGTCTGAGTTGCTGGGTGGCCCATCTATTGCAATTCATCTTTCTTTGCCAAAGAACAGAGTTTAATAATTTTCCAGACTCCGGTTATAATGTGCATGTGCTCGGCCTGGTACTTAAGCAGCTCATTTCCCATGTAAACTTTGTTAGAAGTCCAATTCCTTCTCTATAAAACAGCAATGCAGTAATTTCAGCTTCTTGTGCTAAGTGAAGCAGACGGCCATTGAAAGCTACAAGTGATCGGAGGCCGAGGGCAGGAGGGGAAAGCTGATACCTATCCCAGGCCGTGGGGCCAGGCACACAGTGTGAGGACAGGTTCCACCTGCAGTCTAGGCCAGATCTGGGACTCTTCAATGTTTGATAGTGACAATGATGCACTGGGGCAGGAGATCACAGGATCTTCGACAGAGATCTGTCCTTTTATCACCTTCCAGTGCCCTGTGTGTGAAGAGACAGAGCCCAAGGATGGGAGTGACTTGCTAAGAAGACAGAGCTAGAGGGAGAGTCAGTGCTGGCCCTATGCTTGCAGACTAAGTAAAAACCCCCAGGCAGCCAGATGCTCCGTTCTGTGTTCTTTCTGCTGTACCATACTCTGTGCGGTCACCTCTCACTACTCAGTCAGAATTCCTCCTCCATGAAGCTGACTGCAGTTCATACAGGCCGCCCAGGGACTCTCTCTCCTCTTTGGCACCTTGCTCATACTTACCTTAAAGTAGCGATTATATTAAGGCTTACATGTCTATCTCTTCTCTTAACTCAGTCTCAGAATAGTCTCTGAAGCACTGAGCTTAATATATAAATAAATTAATTAATTAATATTAGTTCGATGGTGAATAAATGAATGAATGAATGAATGGATGAATGAATGAATGGCTGCCATCAGGTTCTGAGTAGTTTGCCCCTTGGAATGTGGAGATGCAACCTGGGGACAGCACGTTGAGGAGAGGGGCCACATCTCCTGGTACTTTCTCTCTCTTGCTCTTTCCCCGCAGTCCCAATATGCATACCTCCCACCACTCCCTGGAGCCTTCTCAGGAAGGCGCTTTCCTGAGTCTAGTGCAGTGTCTCCCTATTCTCCTCTCTCTTTTATCCAGTTCATGTATTTTTTCTGATCCCTCACACCTCACCAGACCTCACCCACCACCTGCCTCTCAGACAGTTTCTCCACTGGGAGGGGAAGCTCCCCCTATTGTAGGAGCAGCCCAGGCAATGCTGAGCATGGGAGGTGCCAAACAAAAAAAGTGTGTAAAGAAGCATCATTCTCTAAAGTGTTCATCTATCAGAGAGAGCAGAGATATTATGGAGAAGTCCTAGTCCTAAGGGAGGCCAGCACCTAATACTCACCCCTTTACTTCCCAGCTGGTCTCTAGTGAGTTAGAGTTAGATTATTGTTAATCAGACCTTTTGTTTATCACATGCCCAATGACAACCAGTCTTAGGCTTTGTCAAATAGCCCCAAAGAAGCAACCCTTAAGCTGAGACATATAACTAAGTTCCCTAATCCTGTAGCGTGCCCCAGCAGACCCCAGTGGAACTGCCTTCTGTTGGGGTCCTTCTAGTACCCCTTTTTCAGGAGCTGCCCCACCCCCATCCTATCCATCCATCTATCCATCCATGAGACGGCCATATTTTTAACAACAGCACCAGGGTTCCCCACTGCAGCTGGTTTGCCCAGGGTGAGAAAGCTGCAATGTCTCAGCCAACCCCTCACATAGGCATTTAGAACTGGGCCTGACGGAAAACTCAGCCTCTCTCAATGTGGGTGGCTAAACCATGATGTGAATGTCATTGGCCACTTCCACTTACAGCTCGGGGGTCTGAGAAACAGGAAGCAGATCTCCCACTCCAGGACGGGGTCTAGTCTAGGGTCAGATACTCTGCTGAGTTGTTACATGTCTTTGGACTCCTTTAATCTGGAACATTTCTGCAGCCTCTTGTCTTTTATGACATCAACGTTTTAAAAGAATCTAATCCCTCTGTTTACAGAATTCTAAGTCCTTGCCTTTTTAATGTCACTAATTTTGTTTCTGTTTGATGGTTCCTTGTGATTAGATGGAGGGTGTGCGTTCTCTATTTGAGACTGCGTAAGTGACTTCATGTCCTTCTTTAAGTCTCACATCTAAGGTCCATGATGTCCACCTGCCCCTCATGGGGATGACCATTTTTGTTCCCTTGGACACAGTGTTATCTACATTATCCACTGTATAATGACTAGTTTTAAACACAATGTCTTTTTGAACGCTCGTATCTTTGTGGTGTAATTAGTAATTTTCCAAATTACACACACATACAAACACCCCTGCATACATTATTTCTTTTCTCCTTAAGTGTCTCTTTGTAACACCACACACACACACACACACATGAGCTGTGAGGTCTTCAGAGCCTGCATGGTCAGGGCTGATTGCAGAGGAAAGCACTTGCAAATGAGTTTTCATCAGAAGGCTGTTCAGTGAAGGATATGAAATTGCTTACAGAACCTCTGCAACATTTCAAGCAATGGGTTGTAAGTTGAGTCACAGACTAGGACTCTTCTTCCTGGCTTCTAAGAACAGGAAGCTTTCAGCCTCAGAATTACATACCCAGTCACAATCAAGAAGCTGCCATGAAATGCAGCTGGTTCCTGAATCACACTGCACCCACCACGTTCACATCATCCAAATCACTGCCAGGGCCCTCTGCCTCTGGGCATCTGTGAGCCTGGTGGTGGGGCAACCTCTGCTCATGCTGCTGCAGAAAGCCCACTGTCTTGCTTGCCCACAGGCAGAAGCACAGCCTCTGCCTCACTCTCTGCACATAGTCTGTCCAAACTAAAGCCACATTTACAACCTTGGCTGCAAGGAGCCCAGGAGCCTCTTCCTATCATGTTCCAGCCTCTGCAGTCCGAGAGGCATGCTGGGAAGAGGGTGGAATGGGTGGTGAATGTTGATCCATTGCATCTACCTGCCTTCCTTGGCCCCCTAAGCTGATTAAGCAGTAACCTTCCTAAGAATTCAGATATGTCCCAGTCCCACACTGTCTTCTCCTCGGTCAAATCCAAGAAGCCTTCCCTTTTGGAGTCAAAGGTCCAAAGATCAGAGGAGAGAGCTGGCTTTGAGATCATCTATATGCTGATGCCTGAGGGCAGCTTTATTACATGTGTAGCTTCTGATTCTGTACTTCTGGGAGGGTAAAAACCAATAGGAAAAACAATTACTGGGGTTGGTAGATAAAAGCACCCCTTAAGACTGTGATGCCACTCAACAGGCTGGCAGGTGAAGATTTAAGTTACAATGTAAGTCAAAGAGAGGGCCCAGGAGGGCAGAAGGCATTTGGCTGAGTGTCAGCTGGGTTTGGGCTGGATCACGGTTGCAGAGGCACTTCCAGGGCTCTGGGATAGCCTGCTCTAGTGCAGGGGGCAGGGGAGTCAATGGACCAGGCAGAAGTGGGCATTGCTGACAGGTTATTCTGGGGCCAGGCGCTCTCATTTCGAA